TTGTTATTAAATGTTTTTAGTGCAATTGTTAGAGTAATTGTTCTTGGTAACATTCTGGCCTGTTCTTTGGATTTGTTCTCAGACGTTCTTGAGAGTTGATAAGCAATGTTCTTAACAGTATTCTTTAATGTTATTTATAATGTTTTGGAAAGTTCTGCCTAATATTCCGAGCTGTTCTTCAAGGTGTTAACACTCTGATTCGAGCTGTTCTTGTTAACGTTTTGGGCTGTTCTTAAATTGTTCTTGTTAATATTCTAGGCTGTTCTTAACTTGTTATTGGGGATGTTTTTGGTAATGTTTTGAGATGCTCTCGAGTATGTTCTAGATAACATTCTGTTCTTTTTTCAATGTTTTCAACTGTTTATTATTATTTTCTCGACTACTTTTTTAGTGTTCTAATTAATTTATATTGTTCTTCCAAACGTTCAGCATTTTTTGTTTTTAAGAGATGTTCATGCTGACACCTGTTCAAGTGTTCAGCATGAACTGCCTGCAAGTTCGGTTTGAGTTGTACTTGCCCAATCATTGACGCGCTTCATTGCTGTATGTACGAGAGAAGATTGTTCAAATACATTACATGCACATCCGGTACATCGTCCACCTTCTTCTACAGAGCCGTCGGTATAGCACTGATACACAACGTTACCCATACTCTGAGTACTCTCAGTGATGCTTTTCAGTGTTAACTGTTGTAATAATGTAGAGTGCACACTATCTTAAGGAGTTGACTACCTTGTAGAACCAAAATGCATAATCAGATTTCGTTCTTCTTCTATAGACCTCAGGTGAGTGCAGCATATTAGAAAGTTTAGTTTGAAACTTCATGTGTTGTCTAGATCTACTCGATGTCTTCACGCCAAAAACTGTGTTAATAGACAAAATTCTCTCACTTATGGTAGGTAATTTTAACTCTGCTCTCATATTAACTATTTTCGTGGACTTTGGAACCCCAAGGATGAGACGCATAGTTTCATTTTGCAAGGGTTCAAGAGATTTCAGCTCTTTGTTTGTATACAGTGTGAGATGTAGAGCATTGTAGTCAATCACAGAGCGTATAAATGATACATAAAACATTCTAGCAAGTCTCACGTTAATTCCATGATTGACACCAACAAGGACCTGCAAGGGCTTTAATCTCTCCCACAGTCTCCTCTTGAGAGAAGAAAGGTACCCAGGGTCGTTAATGGGGACACTAAGGTATCTGTAAGACTCGCAGTTCTCAAGTGCTCGCTCATCTATATGATAATTAGGTGGTGGAATATCACATGGAATGAGGGCACGAGTTTTCTGTACAGAGATAAGGAGGCCACATTCCTCAGCTCTAGTAGCAAAAGTATAGAGTAGAACTTGCATTCTAGGCTCGGAGGCAGCCTGTAAACATATATCATCAGCATAACAAATGACAGTGTCTTCATTATTAGTTGGAAGATCTTTAATAAGTTTATGCATCATAACGTTGAACAACAAAGGACTGAGGACCCCTCCTGTGGAGTTCCCAGTTCAAATTGTTTACTTTGTGTGTTTTTAACACCATTAAACAAAACATATGCTGTTCGATTAGACAAATAACCCTTTTATCCATTTCAGTAATTTTCCTTGTATTCCCAGCTCAGCAAGTTATTCTAGTATGATTTCCCTGTTTGCTGTGTCAATGCTGCTGCTATGTCGATGAAGACTGCTTGAATGGAAGCTTCAATATGAGCCAAGTATTCATCAAAACAGTGCTGTGTACTGAGCCCAGGCATAAATCTCCACAGTTGGGGGTGACTGAGCCCCTGTATGTGATACATGAGTTGTTTAAGGACAATGCCTTCAAGCATTTTTTGGCCAGGGCTGGAAACTTATCTTGGCGATGTTGTGAGTTCTTCTGTTGTAATATTCTGGCCTGTTCTTAATGTCCTGAAAGGCTCACAACACCTGAACGGCTTTAGCAACTTGGATGAAAACTAAACAATTTCTTCGGTCGTACACACACACCGTTGGTGATTAGGTTTTGGTGTGACTATTGGTGTGTTACGACGCCTGAGCGACTTTCTCCGTCACCTTCACCCACAAGATGTTTGGACAGTTTTTTTTCTATTTTGACGAAGAGTTTCATTGTTTTGCATTGTCCAAAAATGTTATCAAAATACATTTTGATAGAGGTACTTGTGTGTGGTATTTTTAGATCATGAATGGTTGGGTAGTCGTCCGGGAGCACTGGCAGCCTTCAGTACACTTGAAATTGCGGTGTCATGGGCGGGTAGAAAGCTTCGCCTGGTTTTTGTCTCTGCCCATCATTTGTGCTTGATTATATGAGTCAAATGTTGGCTCACTCCTCAGTATGTCTTGTTCTGGTGGCCAGCCAGACCCCACGCCTTCCCCCAGCCTGCTTCCCACTCCCAGAGCTGCCACAAGACGGCTCAAGGCGAACTCTCTTGTACCTCGACTCGTCCGGGCGGACGTGTCTCCAAGCCTTCAACACTGGAGAGATTTTCGACCTTGCTGCCATACGTGAGGCCAGTGTTTTCAAGGCTCCCCAATTGGCCCAACTTCTTGGTTGGCCAGAACATGGCTCCTGTACCACACATTGTGTAGCCAGCATTGCAACTGATCGTATCCATGTCTGCAGCATCATTCCTTGAGTGTTGATCATTCACTCCTCATCTGCTGGGCATCTGGAACCTGTTCGCAACTCACTGAAGCATTCGAGAAGTCAACTGACAAAATGAAAACTGTTCCATAGATGACTCCATCTCCAACCCGGAACTAATATATATGTTTCTTAACATTATATAAAACAAGCAAGACCCCGTACTACACTGGTATGGGCCGTGCTTTAGAAGTATCGTAAGTGTTCTCAGGGTTCGTGACCCAAGCTAACGATCAGCCACATGTCGGCTATTATAACCCAAGACGTTTACCCAGCGGCAGTTTCACTCCGTGTTCCTCAAGGACATCACTTCTGGCACAGTAATTCCTGCCTCGCCTGACTCTCACTTTGAAGGTGTCCTCATGACGACCAGATGATCCAGAGAGCAACTCAGCTGACGCAGTCAATCATCTGCTAGATGGCCGCAACTTCATCCTGTATGCTGACCAGACCACACACTAGAAGGTGAAGGGACGACGACGTTTCGGTCCGTCCTGGACCATTCTCAAGTCGATTGTGACTTGAGAATGGTCCAGGACGGACTGAAACGTCGTCGTCCCTTCACCTTCTAGTGTGTGGTCTGGTCAACATGCTTTAGCCACGTTATTGTGACTCATCGCCTTCATCTTATATCATCCCATATGGTGGGAGTTTATCACTACAATATTCACGTAACAATCCTTTGGTAAAATAGCAATTGTTTGAGCCGTGGTGGAAGATATAGTGAGGAAGGTAGGAAGTACCATCCTTGATCACTATAAACCTGGTTGTGTGAGGGATGGTGAGTGCCTGCTGCGTCTCTCACAGTAACCTTCACCGCAGTAAATGAACACTCCACAAAACAGGAACATTATAAAGACTCGCTGAGGGGTGAAATAACTCTCTTCCTCCTCCTCCTTAACAACTTGAATACTGACTCACACCCCCATTATCATCCCTCCCTCCATCCCTCATTCCCTTACTCTCTTTCACAGCTCACAACAACGATAAATAAATACAGTGTTTATTGCCGCTTGCGTATGTGGGCTCGGGGCGGGCGTGTCGTCCGCGGGGCCCACACACCTGCCGGGCCCACACACACCTGCGTCTCCTCCACACGGGGCCAAGGCTGTACGCAAGGCTTCGGGTCAGGAAGTGTACTGAAGTACACCAGCTGGCCCAGTGTACAATGTCACTCATGTACTCTTTTACTGTCAGCCGCCGCTCTCCTCTTCACTGTCAGCCGCTGACAGATCGTTCTCTTGATTGCCACACCATCATAAATCCAACCTCCTAACCTAACCAGCAACGTGCCAACACAAGCAACTCATCTATTGAATCCGATGCACAGAAAACGACGATATTTGTGAGACGTTAATTTTTAGAGTAGATTGCTTTTGTAACGTTGGTTACTGTAACGTAAGAGACGAGACCTGTTAGTTGAGAGGGTAGATTGTCTACCTGCAGACAGCTGGTAGCTACGGTGTATACTGTGTACTCACTGTACTCAGAAACACTCACCACAACCAGCGTGTTCATCCACTCGGAAGCACTCACCACCAAGTACATGCACTCAGAAGCACTCACCAAGTATATTCACTCAGAAAACACTTATTGAACACATCCACTCCCACAATTCTCAGATAAACGGATGTTTGGGGCCCCCCATTTCAACCTGTTCCAACCGGCCCTATGATGCAGTTGTTTGACAGGTATTCACCCCCCTCCCCCCTCACCCCCCCCCCCAGTGTTTCCTGTGTACTGCTGGGAGTCTCCTGCCTCCCTCCGCCCTCAGCTGGATGCTGGGATATCTCTCTCTTCTGGGGATTTACCTTCCAACACGTGGCAACTCTACCCAGGATGCTGAATGGGCCGAGCTCATCTCAGACGTCCCGAGATCCTTGATTAGAGTTCACCCTGGGTGGGGGGGGGGAGGGGAGTTGTTGTTGTTATAGATTCAGCTACTCGGAACAAGTTCCAAATAGCACGGGCTATGGTGAGCCCGTAATTTGCCTGGCACAGGAGCGGGGCAAGAAGCACGGGCTATGGTTAGCGTGTGGGGGGGGGGTTCTTACTAGCCTTTGTGGGGCTATTTAGTCGTAATGGCTTGGCCCTTTCCCCCTGACATGTCCCCCAGGGCGTGAGGCTTAAGGGGCAACCCGTCCTCCTAATAGAACGTCGCATTTTGCCGTATAATTTACCTTAGGTAAAAACAAACTAAAAATTGTCGTATTAGAAAATGGAAGCGGCTCGCGAAATTGACGTACTGTCCCGTTTTCTGTTTTGGGTCCTCTGGTAGGTTTAGGATAAGGGCACTTTAGTACGTCACTTTCTTGACGTTGGGGAACCTTAGGAGGACGGGTTCATGGGAGAATATGACATCATTGGTTTAAGACGAGATTATCTTGTAAATATAGGCAGAGGCAGGCACCAGAGTAGAGGCAGGCACCAGAGTAGAGACAGGCACCAGAGTAGAGGCAGGCACCAGAGTAGAGGCAGGCACCAGAGTAGAGGCAGGCACCAGAGTAGAGGCTGGCACCAGAGTAGAGGCAGGCACCAGAGTAGAGACAGGCACCAGAGTAGAGGCTGGCACCAGAGTAGAGGCTGGCACCAGACTAGAGGCAGGCACCAGAGTAGAGACAGGCACCAGAGTAGAGGCAGGCACCAGAGTAGAGGCAGGCACCAGAGTAGAGGCTGGCACCAGAGTAGAGGCAGGCACCAGAGTAGAGACAGGCACCAGAGTAGAGGCTGGCACCAGAGTAGAGGCAGGCACCAGAGTAGAGGCTGGCACCAGAGTAGAGGCAGGCACCAGAGTAGAGACAGGCACCAGAGTAGAGGCAGGCACCAGAGTAGAGGCAGGCACCAGAGTAGAGGCAGGCACCAGAGTAGAGGCAGGCACCAGAGTAGAGGCAGGCACCAGAGTAGAGGCAGGCACCAGAGGAGAGACAGGCACCAGAGTAGAGGCAGGCACAAGAGGAGAGACAGGCACCAGAGTAGAGGCAGGCACCAGAGTAGAGACAGGCACCAGAGTAGAGGCAGGCACCAGAGTAGAGGCAGGCACCAGAGTAGAGGCAGGCACCAGAGTAGAGGCAGGCACCAGAGTAGAGGCTGGCACCAGAGTAGAGGCTGGCACCAGAGTAGAGGCAGGCACCAGAGTAGAGGCAGGCACCAGAGTAGAGGCAGGCACCAGAGTAGAGACAGGCACCAGAGTAGAGACAGGCACCAGAGTAGAGGCAGGCACCAGAGTAGAGGCAGGCACCAGAGTAGAGGCAGGCACCAGAGTAGAGACAGGCACCAGAGTAGAGGCAGGCACCAGAGTAGAGGCTGGCACCAGAGTAGAGTCAGGCACCAGAGTAGAGGCAGGCACCAGAGTAGAGGCAGGCACCAGAGTAGAGGCTGGCACCAGAGTAGAGGCAGGCACCAGAGTAGAGGCAGGCACCAGAGTAGAGGCTGGCACCAGAGTAGAGGCAGGCACCAGAGTAGAGGCTGGCACCAGAGTAGAGGCAGGCACCAGAGTAGAGGCAGGCACCAGAGTAGAGGCTGGCACCAGAGTAGAGGCAGGCACCAGAGTAGAGGCTGGCACCAGAGTAGAGGCAGGCACCAGAGTAGAGGCTGGCACCAGAGTAGAGGCAGGCACCAGAGTAGAGGCAGGCACCAGAGTAGAGGCAGGCACCAGAGTAGAGGCAGGCACCAGAGTAGAGGCAGGCACCAGAGTAGAGGCAGGCACCAGAGTAGAGGCTGGCACCAGAGTAGAGGCAGGCACCAGAGTAGAGGCTGGCACCAGAGTAGAGGCAGGCACCAGAGTAGAGGCTGGCACCAGAGTAGAGGCAGGCACCAGAGTAGAGGCAGGCACCAGAGTAGAGGCTGGCACCAGAGTAGAGGCAAGCACCAGAGTAGAGGCAGGCACCAGAGTAGAGGCAGGCACCAGAGTAGAGGCTGGCACCAGAGTAGAGGCAGGTACCAGAGTAGAGACAGGCACCAGAGTAGAGACAGGCACCAGAGTAGAGGCAGGCACCAGAGTAGAGACAGGCACCAGAGTAGAGGCAGGCACCAGAGTAGAGGCTGGCACCAGAGTAGAGGCTGGCACCAGAGTAGAGGCTGGCACCAGAGTAGAGGCAGGCACCAGAGTAGAGACAGGCACCAGAGTAGAGGCAGGCACCAGAGTAGAGGCTGGCACCAGAGTAGAGGCTGGCACCAGAGTAGAGGCAGGCACCAGAGTAGAGACAGTCACCATCGCAGAGACAGGCACCAGGTAAGAACCTGGCACCATTGGAATATATTTCAGCAATTAAGAGTAGAGTCATGACTCTTAGTGTGTAGTGTTGCTTCACAACACAGGATGTTACAGCACAATACCACACCTTAATGACACTAGTTTGCATGACCTGTCTCACAACTCCCATTATATCGCCCTCCAGACTATAATTAACCAATTTGTCTTTACTGTGAAAGAACATAATAACATCTCTTGCAGAAACAATGCGTGAGAGAGAGAGAGAGAGAGAGAGAGAGAGAGAGAGAGAGAGAGAGAGAGAGAGAGAGAGAGAGTGGTAGTGGCTATATTTACCAGCCGAGAAAAGACTATATTTCTAGGTCAGTCAAATATTTAACATTACATGCTAATTTTAACCCAGGCAGCACAGTGGCCGTGTTTGGTATGGAGACATATATACTGTACAAAGGTCAGCCACTAACAGGCGTAATGTTTGGATAATAGAGGTGGTTTAAGGTCAAACATCTTTAATAAAAAGGGATTATAAAGACTCATTTGACAACCTTACCTTACCCACGCTTTTTACAGTGTGTGTGTGTGTGTGTGTGTGTGTGTGTGTGTGTGTGTGTGTGTGTGTGTGTGTGTGTGTGTGTGTGTGTGTGTGTGTGCGCGTGTGTGTGTGCGTGTGTGCGTGTGTGCGTGTGTGTGTGCGTGTGTGCGTGTGTGTGTGCGTGTGTGTGTGTGTATTCGCCTAGTTGTATTCACCTTGTTGTGCTTGCGGAGGGTTGAACTTTGCTCTTTCGGCCCGCCTGTCAACTGTGAATCAACTGTTTCTACTACTATTCCTCCCCCCCCCCCACCCCACACACACATACCAGGAAGCAGCCCTGTGTGTGTGTGTGTGTGTGTGTGTGTGTGTGTGTGTGTGTGTGTGTGTGTGTGTGTGTGTGTGTGTGTGTGTGTGTGTGCGTGCGTTCGTGCATGTGCGTGCGTTCGTGCATGTGCGTGCGTGCATGTGTGTGCGTGCGTGCGTGCATGTGTGTGCGTGCGTGCATGTGTGTGCGTGCGTGTGTATGTATGTCTTAATTGTTGAGGTGAGTTGATGCATGTGTGTCAGTGGTAGAGATGTGTTCTTGAGATATCTGGAGACGCCACAAAACACGTCAAGACGTCTGGAGAGACACGGCGAGACATCTTTAGACGCGTGGAGAGGCCGCTACCAGCCACGCCGAGAGAGGAAAGTTAACCTTGAGGAAGGGAGAGGGCGAGACATGTGTAGTGATCACTGATGACTTGCCATACCTTCACCAGACCCCACACACACGCGGGAGTCCAGTCCAACCCTCACTCTCTCATATATGGTATGTGAGGGTTGGGCTGGCTACGTATTCAGCTTTGTAAGTTATTGTATTGGCCACCATTGCATATGCAGCTGATGACTTTTGGTTGTTGTTGGTATCGTCAGGTTCTGTGAGGTATCAACGCTCAGTTTCGTATCACAATTACCAGTGGTATCCGGCCTCCAGCATCCGGCTTCATTACATTGCATTTGCTTGGGTTAGAATCTAGCAGCTCCTTGTCGAACAATTCTTTCTTTAATCCTGGTCTTCCAGGACTAAAGGAAAGAAGTTGTTTCTTAAATCCTCTTATTTATATCCTCCTAATTGTTCATTCTCCAGCAAATATTGACGGGAAAGAATCTATTCATTCCATATGATTATTTGTACCTCTGTAACCCTTTCCAACACCGCCCACGGGAAGGGTATGGGGTGCATAATAAATGATTAACTACCGTACATAGCTTTGGAACAAGATAGGCCCAAGTGGAGGGCCCTGTGGGACCTCACTTGTAATATCTCCGCACTCTTAAGTCTCTATTCTCACTGTCTTCTGTTGCTTAGATACTCCCTTATCCGGTGGAACATTTTCATTCATGGCTGTTTCTCTAGCACGTGGTCTTGTCTCTTGTGGGGGGGGGGGGGAACTGCATCGAAGGCTTTCTGACAGTCCGATCATATACAGTTTACCCAACCGTTTCTGTCTTGTTTGATATTTGTCGCCCTGTTATAGTTGGCAATGTAAGATTTGTCATTCAAAACCAATGCTGATAGTGTGTGTGTGTGAGAGAGAGAGTCTGTGTAATAGGAGGAAGAAAGTGTGTGAGAGAGAGAGAGCGTGTGTTTGGTGTGTACACGGGATGTTGATGTTCCAACCCTTCCTCTCGTCCTGTCCCAAATTCTTATCCTGACCCCTTGCAAGTAATATATAGTCGTAATGACTCGGCGCTTTCCGGTGATAGTTCCTTCGCTCTCCCTAGCTTGTCTACACTGTGATTTCTATACTCTCTGCTAACATATTATTTGTCTAATATATACCTGAGTTTTATACACTGAATGTAATTTATACATTGCTAGTCCCACCTGCGGCCGACCCCAAAAACGCATTCGTCAATTTGAATGTACTGTGTAACCAATACTATATTTTCTCTAATATAATATAATATTATGTATGTTATAATATTTTATGTATATATATAGATAGCTTTATAATTGGTAAGATTTGTGATAGGTATAAAATTATGTAAAGAATAAATAATTGTATGTGTAGTACTATCCAAGATATAGGGGAATACCCATTTAATCAACCCACCTTCATGTCACTGCCACTGTTCCTTATTCTGTTTATAAATCTTTATCTCCTGAGGTGTTGTGGGATATATAATCTTAAACCCATGTCTTCTCTGCCACGGGGGAGACATCTCCCGTCACGCAGGGTGCAGTCGCGCCTCCACAGATCTCCAGTATCAGCTCTTGATACTGGTAATGGCTCAAAAGGGCCACCACTTACGGGCTATTCATGCCCGTGCCACCTTTTGGGTGGCTTAATCTTTATCAATCAATCGACTCTGCGCCCTCTGCAATATAGCATCTTCAGCCCAGCAAGTTAGACAGGTTAAATATCCCGAAAGGAATCCACAGGAAAATAGCAGTTCGGTTATATAAACAACTGGGAAATTAGTGAACCCAGAGAGTGGGAGTGCATCTTCTGCCAAACAATTGCAGAAAAGCCACTACTTCACTATCTCCTGGAATATGAAGCAACCATCGACCTTAGAAGAGCTTTAAGAGTCCTGACTCTTGCAGTAACCATCCTCAAGCCATCAACACTGCCACTCGTCTGATAATGAAAAGAGTTCAGCAGCTGGAGACCCTCATAAATACTGATGGTGTCATTAGCATTTATGAGGGCCATCTCGCTCACTACAGGAGGCGTCAAACAGCATAATTGATTCACTCCAAAAAACATTTACCACTTACGGGCTATTCACGCCCGTGCCACCTCTTGAGTGGTTTAATCTTCATCAATCTTCTCTGCCCAGTTACAGCCCCGCTCTTGGCACAGGAAGTCCACTACGGGCTCACCATAGCCCGTGCTACTTGCAACTTTTGGTTCCCAGTAGCTGCATCTCAAACAACAAACGTCTTCTCAGTATTCTTTGATAATATGTTGAAACACCAAAACGTTTCGAATTTTCGTTTCATTATCTTAATGTATACTTACTCATAACTGAATCACATGTTTATATATATATATATATATATATATATATATATATATATATATATATATATATATATATATATGTCGTACCTAGTAGCCAGAATGCACTTTTCAGCCTACTATGCAAGGCCCGATTTGCCTAATAAGCCAAGTTTTCATGAATTAATTGTTTTTCGACTACCTAACCTACCTAACCTAACCTAACCTAACTTTTTCTACTACCTAACCTAACCTAACCTATAAAGATAGGTTAATTTAGGTTAGGTAGGGTTGGTTAGGTTCAGTCATATATCTACGTTAATTTTAACTCCAATAAAAAAAATTGACCTCATATATAATGACATGGGTAGCTTTATCATTTCATAAGAAAAAAATTAGAGAAAATATATTAATTCAGAAAAACTTGGCTTATTAGGCAAATCTGGCATTGCATAATAGGCCGAGAAGTGCATTCTGGCTACTAGGTACAACATTATATATATATATATATATATATATATATATATATATATATATATATATATATATATATATCAGGACATATATTGAGTGGGAGCAGAGTGTGTAGGACCAGACACTGGGGCGTGAAGGCCAGTACACGGGGGAAAGTCTCAGGTCATCAACTGATTCACGTAAACACAGCTGATGTGAGTAAATACAACTGTTTGACGTAAACAAATGTGATACACGTTAACATAAACACAGCTGATTAATGTAAACACAAGTCAGCTGTCGCTACCTCTACGCTCGGGCTCAGCATCAAAACAACGGGTCGTTACTTGCTTCTGCTCATCGACTTTTTTAAACCTATGTTTTCGCATTAAAAATTTATCAATCTTATTCTATATAGTTGTGGAAATACTGTATTCCTTTCCCAGTACGTCTTGGGTGTTTAGGTTCCCTGTTGCATGGTACACGTGGACATGTATAATCCTGCCTTTTCAGTGTGTTGGGTAATGTAGGCATGGTTGTGGGCGTGGTTGTGGGCGTGGTTGTGGGCGTGGCAGTGGGCGTGGTTATAGAATAAGTAGTAACAACGCCTCCACTGATATATACGGAACCCAGGAACGTATTCCGCTTCTCTGGTAATCATTAATCACTTTTTGTCGCTAATCCGGATGCATATTAAACCTGTTCTTTAATTATGTCGATCAAGTATGCTGTTTGACACCTCCTGTAGTGAGCGAGATGGCCCTTGTAAAGCTCCATGTTAATGACATAAAACTTGGTGCATTCTGAAGATTTGATCTGACTCTGCCATGTGGACTAGACTGGGATCCAGGTCAGATGAGCAGGATGACTGGAGCCAGGTGAGGCGGGAAGGTCAGGGTAGCGAGGCTGCACCAGCAAGGTCAGACGAGGAAGCACTCTGTGCCAGGTCAAGGAAAAGGTCAGGTGAGAGAGTTTAAAGACGAAGGTGAGGGAGTGCGTGTGATCGTGCGAGCCACATCATCCCATTC